TTATGCAGCGACACAAAAGGAGCTCTTTCATCTTCACCTCGGGATACGTACTCGTGAATTTGTCTGTAGTGTCATTCGAAGATTCTGGATATCTAAAAGAACAAGAAATAGAAATACTCTAGAATTATTGATTGAGGAATTGACGCAAAAGGAAATTGTAGGTTATTTCAGGTTCTGTGAATTTAATAAAATGCGTGATTGAAACTTTCTTGTTCGTGATCATTTAATTATTTACTAAATGTACCTAAAGTTCGAAAGATTTCATTTGTAAATCAACAAAGAAAAGATTAGTCAAGTATGTTAATAATTGTTATTGAAATGCCGGTTTTTTCTTGTTGATATTTTTATTATCATGTTTAAATAACTATCGTGTTTACAGCAGTACTTTGGTTAGCGTCAATAATATAGACAAATCTAATCGGAAATTATCTTAATTGATAATATGCATTACAGTATTCCTCTTAAATTATTCTCCAATAATGGAATATATCAAGATATCAAAAAGCGTTGTGCTATAAAATTGGGAGTATTATCTCAATGTATCGTCGGTTCGCATATTGAAGGAAGCCAAGGAAAGTGGAGACTAATCTTTGCAAGCATTGTCCTCAAGATTAACGGAAAACTGAGTGGGACGAACTACACGTTAGCGCGACGTGAGATCGGCTTCTTTGAAAGGGATTTAAAGGAGAAGACAAGTTTTTATTTAATAAGGTCGTGCAATGGAATTTAAGTTGCAACTAAATCCTAAATCAGATTAGTTAATTTTTTGAACTTTCTAACCAATAATTTCTAACATTATTTATCCATATCTTTGTTTTCTTTCAGGTTATGTTCTTTGGTGCTGATCTCCTCCATCACAGCGACATAGGTTGTCCAAGTGTTGCCGTAGCATGTGCCTCGATAAATCCCGAGGCCACTAAATATTTGTCCCGTTACAATATAATATAATTAGCAAATGATATTATCAAAGAGATTTGCAGGATGGTTTTGGAGTTAATGGTGCTGTATAAAAAATTAACGATGGCCTTCCCGATCAAATTGTATTCTACAGGCGATGCACTGCCGAAAGTCAAATTGAAAAAATTATTAGAGAGGAAGTGATGCCCGTAGCAAAACGCGTTTAAAAAATTTATGGATCGCAATACCCTCCAAAATTTACTTTTGTCACTGTATAGAAACGTCATCAAGCCCACAATTGAATGATAGTTTTTAAAAATGCGATGTTTTTAGAAAGGTTTATATTCTTTGTTTTTCAATCTCAAAGACTTGTTCCTGTTAACGAGAGTGACGCTGACCCTCAAGAAAAAAATTGCAAACCTCACAGTGGTCGACACCGGAATTGTTGTGCCACAATGTTTACCTTCTGAGTTTCTTTTTTTTGAAAAAATAACTGAAAAGATCGTAACCGCATTCCCATGAAAATAAGTAGTTTTTAAAAGTTACGCGAGCCCTTTGGGCAAAGCTCGCTCTACATTTTATCATTTTATCCGTAATGGGGACAGTTTTAAGGCAAACGAGATGTGCAATATTTTATCCGTGAGGTAAGCAAGTGACTCTCGTTTATCCATGAATACTATTGTCTCGTACTTATCAATTCATTATTTTGTAGGTGTAATCTCAATACGCCATGTTACACCGGTTCATTACGCGCGCCATATCGCGAAACAAACGAAATACTTTATCCAGTATGAAGAATACCTAACACTAAGCACCAGAGGCGGGCGCAGTGGTCGTGACGACCGCGGCACTCGTAGAGGTCGTGATTGCGATAGAGGTCGCGGTCAGGATAGCCCAATGAGAGTTAAAAACGGAAGAGTGCTGGTAATCAAGACGCTATAAAACTACAATAATGCTATTGCACAATTAAAAAAAAGTTCAATGAATAACAATTCATTTCTGCTCGTAAATTAAATAATTATGTAATATAATAAAACTATAACAATCTATTGTATAAGAATTTTGCCATAATTTATTTTTTTTAATTTTTTTTTTTTTACAAACTAACTGTAAAAATTTATAGAAACGAGTCCATAGACGATTAAAGTATGATGGTCTGTCTGATCTAACGAGATCAAATTTCACTTTTTGAAATTGAATGATATAAATATTACTAGAAAAACTTTTCAATTTTAATAAAGATAACATTTATATACAAAAATGTTTTATTTATTATTTGTCAATTGAAAAAAAATAATAGTAAACTTTATAAACAAAATTTTTTTAAAAAATAATTAAAATATTCATGATAAAGACATTATATTTTAATATTATAATAATTAAATATAAGTTGAAATTTTTAAAGATTAAAAAATAATTAATTAAATTTATTTCTTGATCATTATAATTTTAATTTTAAATCCAATAAAAAATATTTAAAACAAAAAGAAAAAAATATATTTGAAAATGTTATTGAATATTGTAAGGTAATAATTGATGTCTGATACTATAGCAACCTAAATTTGTGTAATGATAGAAATGATTTGTTTTATATTTTTATATGTGAGATGTATATTTGATTTAATCAAAAAAAATTTTTTTTTTTTTGAATTGCAAATTCAAATTAAAGTAGAATTTTCTTGCTATATCTTGAATTTATTTAACTATTTAAAAAAATCAATAATTTGCTTAAAACTAATTGTAACTATTTGAAACTTTGCTATTATTATCTAATATTTTTATTATAATGCATCAAATTAAATATATAATGTATATATTTGTAATATTTATTATTATTATTTTTTTAAAAAAAATTAATATACCATACACACTCGAATACTGTATATTATGGTTTATGTAAATTAGAGTAATAGAAAAAGATAGAACAATATAACTAGCATTTATGAAAACGATAAGCTTTAAACTGTGAGATAAAAAATCTACAAAAACTTTGGCACTAATAAGAACACAAAAAAAAAGAAAAAACGATCAATTATACTGTAAATTGTTTTTCGCAAAAACAAAAAAAAATTGTAACAAACATAAAGAATATTTGCAAAACTTACTATCAAGAATCCATTAAACAAAAATTTGATATGTAAAAATGCACTTTAAAATTTACATTCGTAATAATTCTGCAATATTTAATTATAAAAAATTTTAAGATTACAGTATTTATTTAATACAATTACAGTAACTATTTGTTTATGATTATTTCTTATTATAAAAAAAAAATCATTTATCTATGTAGAAAATTGCAATACGTATATCAAAGTGATGTGACTTGGAGTCATATGAGCCTAAAAATGACTACGTTGGGGTGTCCAATGTACTATGTAGATCAAATATATGTATAGTCTCATAAAAATTACTATTAGATTTTTTTTTTAGAGATGATCACCGATTTTGACTTTATATGGGGTGTGATTTATTAAATCAGCCCATTTTTACATATATGAGTAAATCGATTTTAAATAATGATCTACAAATAGTAATACATATAAAATTTTCAACTTAAAATTTATTTTGTAAAACTTTTTATTATACGTATAATTAGCTTTGATAACTTAAAACAAATTTTTTTATTGAATATACAGTATATCTATTTAAAAATCAAATAAAAAAAATTTTGAAAAATTGTAAAAATAAACTGTTTTAATAGATCATGCCCCATATTTGATAACAATAAAAAAATCTTTTACTGTGTATTCATATTTATAATAAATTTTTTTATTATATTACTTTTTTTTTTTTTTTTACGTAGGTAAACACCATTTCTTTATTTATTTGTATATAACAAGGTATACATTATGGAAAGAAACAACATCTCTCACA